TACATTGTACCAATATTTTGTTTGTATCCATTAAATATATTTTGTTTTCTTGCCAGCCAGAGGTGTAAAGAAATGAAATCTTGTTTTTGAAATTGGCCAAATTTTAGCTTTTTGTCTTAAGAAAAATATGACAAAATCTGACATATTTGGTCTTAAGAAAATATGACATAATTTGGCATATTTTATCTTATAAAAATATGCAAATAATTTGGCATATTTTGTCTTCAGAAAATGTGACAAAATTTTTTATATTTGTTCTAAGAATATATGACAAAATTTCGCATATTTTGTCTTAAGAAAATATGACAAAATTTGGCATATTTTGTCTTAAGAAAATAGGACAAAATTGGCATATTTTATCTTAAGAAAATATGACAAAATTTGGCATATTTTGTGTTAAGAAAATGTGACAAAATTTGTTATATTTTGTTCTAAGAATATATGACAAAATTTGGCATATTTTATAGAAAATGTGACAAAATTTGTTATATTTCGCTTTAAGAATATATGACAAAATTTTGCATATTTTGTCTTAAGAAAATATGACAAAGTTTGGCATATTTTGTCTAAAGCAAAAAAAGGTAAAGTTTGGCATATTTTGTCTAAGAAAATATGACAAAATTTGGCATATTTTGTCTTAAGAAAATGTGGCAAAATTGTTATATTTTGTCTCAAGAAAATGTGGCAAAATTTGTTATATTTTGTTTTAAGAATATATGACAAAATTTCGCATATTTTGTCTTAAGAAAATATGACAAAATTTGGCGTATTTTGTCTTTAAAAAAATATGACAAAATCTGGTATATTTTGTCTTAAGAAAAAGTGACAAAATTTGTTATATTTTGTCCTAAGAATATATGACAAAATTTTGCATATTTTGTCTTAAGAAAATATGACAAAGTTTGGCATATTTTGTCTTAAGAAAATATGACAAAGTTTGGCATATTTTGTCTTAAGAAAATATGACAAAGTTTGGAATCTTTTTTCTTAAGAAAATATGACAAAATTTGGCATAACTTGTCTTAAGATAATATGACAAAATTTGGCATGTTTTGTCTTAAGAAAATATGACAAAAGCTGTCATATTTTGTCTTGAGAAAACATGACATAATTTGGCATATTTTGTCTTTAGAAAATATGACAAAATTTGGCATATTTTGTTTCAAGAAAATATGACAAACTTTGACATATTTTGTCTTAAGAAAATATGACAAAATTTGGCATATTTTATCTTTAGAAAATATGACAAAATCTGGCATATTTGTCTTGAGAAAATATGACATAATTTAGCATATTTGCCTTAAGAAAACATGACAAAATTTGGCATATTTTCTCTTAAGACAATAAAGTAAAATTTGTCTGAAGAAATTTGGTATAATTGGTCTTGAGAAAATATGCTAAAATTTGTCATATTTTGTCTTAAGAATCATGACAACATTTAGCATATTTTCTTTAAAGAAAATATGTTGAAATTTGACATATCTTGTCTTAAGAAAATATACCAAACTTTTGCATATTTTGTCTTACGTAAACATGACAAAATTTAATCTTAAGAAAATATGTGGAAATTCGACAAATTTGTCATATTTTGTCTTAAGAAAATATGACAAAATCTTACATATTTCATCTTATGAAAATATGATAAAATTGAAAATATTTTGGTTTCTAAACTTAATCCAGAATAAAATTTAAAAGTCCAATATCATATTATAATAATTTTAAGATCTCATTGATGTGTCTTCTGACCCTAACATTCCCATTATTTTACCAATTTATTGCACCAAACTACTCAAACCTTAAATTTACATTTTAACATTTCCAGTTGATCTTTATATTAAACACAATTTCTTTCCAAATTATTTTAACATTTATAGTGAAAAACAATCAAGCTCATTAAAATCTCATTTAACTACCTTTTCATTACTAATTTATGCATCCTCTGCTCTATATACTATTTGTATAAGTCCACTAAACATTTTCAAATCTTTACATGACATTTGATAATTTAATTCTGCATAATTAATTAAGTTTGTCTCTCTGTGTTAATTGTGTTTTCAGTTATAAATCGTTGAATAAATGTTATGTTTAACACCTACACACACACTAAACTAAAATTAAGTTTAATTAAAACTGAATGTTTCTTCTAGTCTTGAGAAAAAAATTTCATAATTTCTAGCCTCCGGTAGTAAGTAGTAGCAGTAGATGTAGTAAACAATCATTTGTGGTTAGTTTTATAGTAGTATAAATGACAGCATTGCAGTTGTAGTAAAAATTCCTTAAGTTCATTATACACTCTTTTTGTTGTTGTTGGAGATTTTAATTAATAGATTCGTTTAAAACTGGTTTTCTAGTTTCTCATACATATAGAAAAGCTGAAACAAAGAAATATAGAAACGTAGAAAACTACATATAAACATACAAGTTTAACTATTTTTCTCAAGAAATATTATATGCATATTTGTTTTATTTATCTTGCAAAATGACTGACCAGTATTTTTTTCATGAATGGAGGGGGTTTTATTAGTGAAAGAATGTGAAAAAACCTAATCCTCGTTTAAAGAGCAAAATATATTTACTTTACACGTTTTCAATGTCATTAAAATTTAGATTATGACAGATCTATGGAATACATATACAGTTTTGAAACCGTAAGTAATATGCCAAAATGTCACATATTACAAAATTTATATAAAATATAAATTTCATATAAAAGTAATGAAATACAGATCGATTCAACATTTTCTAATAAACTTAATGATTAATGAATCACTGATTTGAAAATAGCTTTAGTTTTAAGAGTAGAATATCTAACTAATGGGACTACCAAGGTTCAGATTATGTTAACCCCCGTTAAACTAGGCTCTTGTGTAAACATATCTTTTGTTAATGAAAAACAAATATTTTTAGTTTAGAACGAAAAAAAAATAACATTACAAATAATAACAGAAAAATAAAGTAGAAGGACAGAAAATAACTAAAAACACGTAAGAAAGTAAAGTCGGGCATGGTCGATCATATGATGCCCTACGCCATTTGTGAATATATTTAAAATTTATTTATTTCTTAATATATATGGACCGATCCTAATAAAATGTGGACTAATATAAAGCAGACAATGGACTTCAAGTCGACTTTAGACTATATTAGACTAGATTATATACAAGAATATAGACCAGCCTAGACTACCTATTAGACTATAGAGTAGGCTATATACTAGACTATGGACTAGACTATAGAGCAGAATATAGACTGGATTATAGAAAAGACTATATGTACTATAGATTGCAAAGATTATAGATTAGACTATTGACTAGACTATATACCAGACTATAGACTAGACTATAGACTAGACTATAGACTAGACTATAGAATAGACTGTAGACTAGACTATAGACTAGACTATAGACCAGACTATAGACTAGACTATAGGCTGGACTTTAAACTAGACTATGGACTAGACTATAGACTAGACTACGGACTAAACTATAGACTAGACTCGACTAGACTAGACTATAGACTAGACTATAGACTAGACTATAGATTAGACTATAGCCTAGACTATAGACTAGACTATAGACTAGACTATAGACTAGACTATAGACTAGACTATAGACTAGACTATAGACTAGACTATAGACTATAGACTAGACTATAGACTAGACTATAGACTAGACTATAGACTAGACTATAGACTAGACTATAGACTAGACTATAGACTAGACTATAGACTAGACTATAGACTAGACTATAGACTAGACTATAGACTAGACTATAGACTAGACTATAGACTAGACTATAGACTAGACTATAGACTAGACTATAGACTAGACTATAGACTAGACTATAGACTAGACTATAGACTAGACTATAGACTAGACTATAGACTAGACTATAGACTAGACTATAGACTAGACTATAGACTAGACTATAGACTAGACTATAGACTAGACTATAGACTAGACTATAGACTAGACTATAGACTAGACTATAGACTAGACTATAGACTAGACTATAGACTAGACTATAGACTAGACTATAGACTAGACTATAGACTAGACTATAGACTAGACTATAGACTAGACTATAGACTAGACTATAGACTAGACTATAGACTAGACTATAGACTAGACTATAGACTAGACTATAGACTAGACTATAGACTAGACTATAGACTAGACTATAGACTAGACTATAGACTAGACTATAGACTAGACTATAGACTAGACTATAGACTAGACTATAGACTAGACTATAGACTAGACTATAGACTAGAACTATAGACTAGACTATAGACTAGACTATAGACTAGACTATAGACTAGACTATAGACTAGACTATAGACTAGACTATAGACTAGACTATAGACTAGACTATAGACTAGACTATAGACTAGACTATAGACTAGACTATAGACTAGACTATAGACTAGACTATAGACTAGACTATAGACTAGACTATAGACTAGACTATAGACTAGACTATAGACTAGACTATAGACTAGACTATAGACTAGACTATAGACTAGACTATAGACTAGACTATAGACTAGACTATAGACTAGACTATAGACTAGACTATAGACTAGACTATAGACTAGACTATAGACTAGACTATAGACTAGACTATAGACTAGACTATAGACTATACTATAGACTAGACTATAGACTAGACTATAGACTAGACTATAGACTAGACTATAGACTAGACTATAGACTAGACTATAGACTAGACTATAGACTAGACTATAGACTAGACTATAGACTAGACTATAGGCTAGACTATAGTCTAGATTGTAGACTAGACTATATTGGAATAGATTCAGAATGTGACTTTGAGCCTTTTGGTATACCTTAAGAGGTTTTTATAATCATTATTTTTGATTGTTGCAAACAACCGAACAAAACCCATAATACCCTCCCCACTAAAGTGGTGTAGGGTATTCAAAATATTACAAATATTGCACTTAAAACCGGGAATACTTAAAAATTCAACAAACTTACCTTCAGTAACATGGCCACTCTTGGGCAGCGTTTCAGTGGTTGTTGAAAAATTATTCATTTTCGCCATGATGAAGGGTACAAAATGCAGTGCAGCAAAGGCAGCAAACAAATAATAAACAACTGCTGAAAAGGTTTGCAATGCAATGTACCACCGTTGGATGGATGGATGGATGTTTAAACGGATGTGGATTAAAGATATAAAATATGAAGTAAAACAGGTTAAGCAGAAGAAGAGTGTGTAAAAGTAAGTTGTGTTGATTTGGTAGAGGAGTTTGATGAATGTCGGTTGACGTTGTTTAGAGGGAAATATGTATTTGAAGTTATAGATGTGTGTGTGCGCAAACTATGTGCCGCACTCAAGGACGATGAAGTTAGAGGTTCGTCTCTCAAAGGTGCTGACGATGATGAATTTGTGAAAAAAAAAGATACAAAAATTATGCTGCAGCTGCTGCTGTTTAGTTGGCTGTTTTTGTTGTATCTGTATCTTTTTTTTTTTTTGGACAAACACTTGAATTTTTGTGGCAAATACCGTGAGGATTTTTGTGTTGTTGTTGTTATTTTTTGGGTTAAGCCTTTTTGTTGTTATTTTGTTTGTTTTTGTTTTGATTTTGTTTTTGTATATGTTTTTGGTATTTTTACCACTACATACTTTGTTTTTGACAGATACTTGTTGAAATACCGTAATCACTTTATATTTACGAGATAGGTATTCACTGGTGTGTTGTTGTTATTGTTTTTGCCGTTTTTGTTGTTGTTGTTCAGTCGTTTGGTCGGCAAAATGTTGCTGCAATGGAAGTTTTATGTATCAACTTCCAGTTTGTTTTTGTTTTTTTTATACCTTTTCTCTTGGTTCTACTTTATTTTCAAAATATCAAAAGTATTTCATTACATTTTTATTAAAATTTTTTTTTAATTCTGTTGTTGTTGTCGTTCTAATATCAATTTCAATTTTATTGCAAAAAAGGTTTCTCTTAAAGGTCGTTTTAATCGCGCATTTTAAAGTCGAGGTTGTTTAGAAACATAAGAGACTCGAGATAAGTCTCTAAAATTTTATTTAAAAAACAAAAATTCACGCCCGTTTTGTAATTTAACCCCTTTTTTCGTTACAATTAATATTTATTGGAAATTCTGCTTTATTTCACCGACATACTCTTTTAACTCCCTCCCTCCAGCTAAATTTCACTCATTTAATTGCTTTTGAAAATATGTAATTTTTTCACTTCAAATCTTTACTCTTTTTCACTTCACTAATCACACAATTTCGTTCGTTTCAATTCACTTTTTTATCTTGTTTGCCGTGGCCAATCGATATTAAATAAAAAATTACTTTTGTATTTTATAAATGCACTTTTCTTCTTCTTAGCGGCTCTATGCAATTTTAGCTGAATACCATCATATCGTGTAGATACATTTTCTTTTGTAAGTTTTGTTTTTTTTTTTTTCTCTAGTTTATATTTGTTTAGTTTTTGTTAATTAAAAGCAACAGAAAAATTATATTCCAAAAAAAAAACACTCACGAACTAACAAAGCGTACTATACGTTTGCATGCTTTCGCTGCTCTTTTAACAATCTTTGCTTGAATTTTAATTTTGAGTTACTGTAGCTCGAATATTTATGCTGTTCGCCGCAGCAGCGCTGCTATGTATCTGTGTTTTGTTATTTATAAATTGAATGTGCGTGTGTGTTCATGAGAGACTATCTAACAATGTCTGGAATTTTACAGTTTGAGAGTCATAGTGGTTGTGAGTTGCCTAGTTTCAAGTGGTTTGTATTACGCAATTTTTTAAGGAAATCCCCAGAATTTCCTTTCGTAGGTAAGATGTTGTCAGTTTTCACACCTTTTTAAAGTGGGTTTGTACGAACAGGTTCAATAGGTACAAAAATGTAAAAAAACATATTACAAATAGTCTGCAGAGACCAGGAATCCAACGACCATCAAGTCATATGCCGTAATTGTCAAAACTGTTTAATTGTTTAACAAGTCTCATATACCCACCATCAAACCGTATCCCCTATAAACAATAGGGTGATATTTGGTATATATCTTAAGTCAATTATGAATTTTGGACCGATCCACATAAAATTTGGCTAAGAGATTTTGGCTCGTAAGGAACTTATTTAAAATTTCACCGCTATACTCGTATTTTTGAGTCAGTAATGAGCGTTAAAGCAATTTTATGAGGGAGACCTTATATGGGGGTAGAGTAAATTATGAACCGATCCACATAAAATTTTATAGAGAGATTTTGGCTCATATGAACCCTATTAATGTCGAATTTTATCGCTATATACGTATTTTTAAGCCAATAGTGAACGTTACAGTAATTTTCTGAAGGGAACCTTATATGGGGGGTAGGGTCAATTATGGACCCTTAAAGCTGCCTTTCGGGGGTTCACTTATATGGGGGCTATCCGAAAACGTGGACCGATATTGCCCATTTTCAATACCAAACAAACATTATCCATACAGAATTTCAACCTTCTAGATCATTCCGTTCGGACTCTATTGTGCTTTAAACAGACAGACAGATGGACGGACATGGCTAGATCGTCTTAGAATTTAATAAGGATCCAGAATATATATACTTTTGTGAGTCTATGAGCAATATTTCGATGTCTTACAAACTTAATGACAAAATCAATATAACCCCCATGGTGGGTATAAAAACACTATCTATCTATCTATCTATCTATCTATCTATCTATCTATCTATCTATCTATCTATCTATCTATCTATCTATCTATCTATCTATCTATCTATCTATCTATCTATCTATCTATCTATCTATCTATCTATCTATCTATCTATCTATCTATCTATCTATCTATCTATCTATCTATCTATCTATCTATCTATCTATCTATCTATCTATCTATCTATCTATCTATCTATCTATCTATCTATCTATCTATCTATCTATCTATCTATCTATCTATCTATCTATCTATCTATCTATCTATCTATCTATCTATCTATCTATCTATCTATCTATCTATCTATCTATCTATCTATCTATCTATCTATCTATCTATCTATCTATCTATCTATCTATCTATCTATCTATCTATCTATCTATCTATCTATCTATCTATCTATCTATCTATCTATCTATCTATCTATCTATCTATCTATCTATCTATCTATCTATCTATCTATCTATCTATCTATCTATCTATCTTATCTATCTATCTATCTATCTATCTATCTATCTATCTATCTATCTATCTATCTATCTATCTATCTATCTATCTATCTATCTATCTATCTATCTATCTATCTATCTATCTATCTATCTATCTATCTATCTATCTATCTATCTATCTATCTATCTATCTATCTATCTATCTATCTATCTATCTTATCTATCTATCTATCTATCTATCTATCTATCTATCTATCTATCTATCTATCTATCTATCTATCTATCTATCTATCTATCTATCTATCTATCTATCTATCTATCTATCTATCTATCTATCTATCTATCTATCTATCTATCTATCTATCTATCTATCTATCTATCTATCTATCTATCTATCTATCTATCTATCTATCTATCTATCTATCTATCTATCTATCTATCTATCTATCTATCTATCTATCTATCTATCTATCTATCTATCTATCTATCTATCTATCTATCTATCTATCTATCTATCTATCTATCTATCTATCTATCTATCTATCTATCTATCTATCTATCTATCTATCTATCTATCTATCTATCTATCTATCTATCTATCTATCTATCTATCTATCTATCTATCTATCTATCTATCTATCTATCTATCTATCTATCTATCTATCTATCTATCTATCTATCTATCTATCTATCTATCTATCTATCTATCTATCTATCTATCTATCTATCTATCTATCTATCTATCTATCTATCTATCTATCTATCTATCTATCTATCTATCTATCTATCTATCTATCTATCTATCTATCTATCTATCTATCTATCTATCTATCTATCTATCTATCTATCTATCTATCTATCTATCTATCTATCTATCTATCTATCTATCTATCTAGCTATCTATCTATCTATCTATCTATCTATCTATCTATCTATCTATCTATCTATCTATCTATCTATCTATCTATCTATCTATCTATCTATCTATCTATCTATCTATCTATCTATCTATCTATCTATCTATCTATCTATCTATCTATCTATCTATCTATCTATCTATCTATCTATCTATCTATCTATCTATCTATCTATCTATCTATCTATCTATCTATCTATCTATCTATCTATCTATCTATCTATCTATCTATCTATCTATCTATCTATCTATCTATCTATCTATCTATCTATCTATCTATCTATCTATCTATCTACATATATCTATATATCTAATATCTATCTATCTATCTATCTATCTATCTATCTATCTATCTATCTATCTATCTATCTATCTATCTATCTATCTATCTATCTATCTATCTATCTATCTATCTATCTATCTATCTATCTATCTATCTATCTATCTATCTATCTATCTATCTATCTATCTATCTATCTATCTATCTATCTATCTATCTATCTATCTATTCTATCTATCTATCTATCTATCAAATTTGCTTTATAAACCGCTGCTAAACATTTTATACCAATTTCATTAAAATGAATGAAACTTGGCAACTCTTCACATTATAAATTTTGCTAATTTGAATTTTTTTATTTTTCCTTACATTTTCGACTTGCTGTATTTTAAAAGATCTTGGATTCTTTTGCAAATATTATTTGTATTCCAATAATACCATTTATAAAAAATTTATAAAAATAAGTTTAAATAATTACTTAATTTAGTGTACAATTTAATAACAATGCTTCCAAAACTTTTCAATTAAGTGCTGCCAAATTTGTGTAATTACTTAGTAAAGACCTAAACCTTAGCAAAGAATTTCACCAAAAAAATGCTTTAAATAAATAATGTTACAATTTAGTTTCATTTCTGTGAAAGACCATTAGACTTTGTGACATATTTTTGAACAAAAATAAAATTTAATTAATTTTGTTGTAGGATTTTGAAAATTTTACTTCCTTTACGGCTAAGTGATTAGTCCAACTCTAGACAAAGTTATTAACAGTTACTTTAGTGCTTTCTTATGTTTGTAGGGTGTTTGTACAACTATTGTACTCAAAACTGTTTCTAGATATTAAGTACATTTACACAAATAAATAGTTAATAAATTTAATAGAGCAGTTAAAACTGTATTCGCAAAATTTCACAATTACACTAGAGTGTTCAACTTTATGATTAAAACTTTTCATATTAGTTTACAAAGATCCATATACAATGGCATTTAAAGGCATGGAAATCGAGACAAGTACTTATTACGTTAGCTTACAAATAGGGTGTTAGATAAGTACTTACTATGATTGCAGTTTTGTTTCTGAGAAACAATTGTTGTTTTCGTTTGTGTTTTGTTTCTGAGAAACAATTGTTTTTTTCGTTTGTGTTAAAAACAAATATCGAAAACAATATATCTGGACTGAAAATTAAGTACTTATATAATGTATTATTTGTCATTACTAGACTCCTTATAAGCAATGCAGACGTTAGATAGAAGTCATTGAAAAGTAAGTTGTTGAGTAACTACATGCATACATATATATTTGAGTTGCAATAATCGAATCGCAGCTGTGTGAACATAACTATCCGTTAAACAGTATCTATCCGTTAAACAGTAAAATTTTCAAGTACAACAAGCAATGTTACACTTAAGAGAGCACACTTGAAAACTCACCTGAGATAAATGAAACACTCAGAAAAATAACAGGTAAACGCAATAAACCATGTAAAACGAGTTAAAAATTTAGTTGCCCGCAAGCATCACTATAGAAAGAAACAACAACGAGTTGTATTTCATAGATACACAATAGTTGAGATACAAAGCTAATGAGAGACGTTGAAGTGTATAAACAATTAACGCTAACAGTTATAAAATTGTATAGCAAGACCTTAAATAACTCCCAATAGTAAATATGAGTTAAAAAAACCGCAAAACAACTCAAAAGTAGATGTTGTGTTAACCAACGACAGATTTAATGAGTTATTTGAAATATATTTAGTTTTAAAACGATCGTGCAGCGGTTGAGTTGAGAGTAGAGTAGAGTGTAACTCAAATAGAATAATTAATTATAGTTTTTAAGAAATTATTCTTATATGTTTTTGTTAATACAAAGAAATTAAACAAAATTGTGGTTAAAGCGGTATTTGGAATTAAAACAAAATTATATGGTGTTTGAAATAAACAAATAATTATAGAGAAAAAGTACGCTTAATAGAATTAAACAAAAAATTTTTTTAAATTAAAAATTATTGTTAAACAATAAAAAATTATTTATAAAAAGGTAAAAGTTTGTCAGAATATTGTTTTCAATAAAACCAGTTTTCAAGAGAGTGTTGTACGTGCCTTGATTATACATTTTAATTCAAAAAAACCAGTTAATGAGAAATAACAACAATAACAACATTAAGCATGAAACGCTGGTTAAAAAATTTGTAAAAAGACCACAATAACAACAGCAACTACATATCGAAAAAAAAGTTAAAAAAGAGTTAAAAACCAGACATTCACAAACAAACAAAAAAATGAGTCATCAAGTCATCATGTTTTACTAGCAACAACTAAAAAATTTAGTTAAACACTCTCATCAATCAGTTAAATATTTGATACAACGCAACATCGATCGGTTTCTCCTTTATAAATATAATTTAAATAATTAACTTTTATAATTATTTTACAATAACAAAAGTATACAAACATTAAAAAAAAACACAACAAAAAATTCCTTAACAATTGTTTAAATAAAAAAAAAAGAAATATTTTATCACACTTAACTGAAATTCTATCGATCACGTACTTTTATTACAACAAAAGTGGAAAAACAATAAACAATAAATATTATATTTATATAAAATATAAACAATAAAGAAAACAATCTCTTCAAATAAACTAATATCAAATCATGGATTCAAAATTTCTAAAATATGGCACTTCTACGCTCTTTATCGTGCATCACTTGGCTAATGCCGCCTTAACAGCGGGTGGATCAGAATGTCATGCCGAAACTTGTCATCCCATAGAAGAGTATTGTTCGCAATTCGAACAAACATGTATGCCCTGTAGCAAAACCTGTGATCCGGAGGATATAAGATATGAAGCAAATGTTTGCAATCGTGAATGTAGTGGTAGGTGGTTCAATTTTATCTTATTTTAGTTTTAACTTTAAAAATTACATCATTTGTTATTACTTTTTTTGTTGTTGCTATAATTAACTAATGAATATGTATAAGTAGTAAGTTATGATCGTTTATGTGATGTGACCCTACTCAAGCCATAATATGATCAAATTATTTAGAGAGTGTTGAGTCTCTCCTTAATTGATCCTCGTCAAATGTGTTACAAAGTTTTACGCTTAAAGTTATAATAAGATCAATGTTCCAATCGGTCCTCATCAAGTGTGGTACAAAGATTTACGCTTGAAGTCATAATAAGATCAAAGTTCATATCGATTCTCACATCGTAAGGCCCTTTTATAAGGGCTCGTGTCAATTATGGATTTAACTTAGTTTTTCTGAAGATATAAGTCTTAATATAGTTTCTAGAAAATTCGCCATATTCAACATAGGACTTTAACGACATCTCACTAAAATTCGCCTAAAGAGGGTCATATCACAGTTCCGATGTGGCCAATTGACATCCCTAAGAAGACTGATAACATTAGGGGGTCAAAAGATCGTTTGTTTGATAAGTGTGATACATTTTGCTGAAAACAAAAGATTATAGAAGTTTCTGTTTTTCGTATAAGTCCGTAATCATGACACTGAGACCGACTAAGTATTAAAAAAACGTACAGTTTGGGCAACATAGCACTCACTTTGGGTCGGTACTATAAACTGAAGAAATCATTAGACTCCTTGCAGTCTTTGACTTGTGGGCCAAAGATTTTTTAACATTCACTTTGGAACCCAGTATGCAGTATTTCCCAGCGAACCGCCCTCACGTTGGTGTTATTGCAATTCCGGAGTAAAAGAAGTTCTAACAGTATTAACCGTATGTCAGGACTGTAAGTACTTGAGGAGACATAACACTCCTTGATGAATCCTTGGAATCTTTGATTCGGGGTCTGACTAGAGAACCATATAATCTGGTACTAAGGGAGACATTTGGCCGCGAGGTATTCGTTCTGTAATCGGCTTTTTAGTTGAGTTGCCTTCTGAATCCAAGTAGTCGTTGAGGTTAAAACCTCAATCTGAGGAAGAGTATGTTGATTAAAAAAGACTGAAGTAGGGTGAAGTCAATATTTCGGGAAAGTTCGGTACCTGAGCCGAAAAAACATATACCTTCCATTGTAGCTCACTATTCAAAAAACGTACAGTTTGTGCAACACAGCACTGACTTTGGGGTGAGACTTTAAACTGGAGAAATCATTAGAATACTTGCAGTCTTTGACTTGTGGGCTTAAGATTTTAAACATTCACTTTTGGACCCAGTTTACAGTATTTCCCAGCGTATATCCCCAGGAGGGGCCTGCATGTTATCTTGGTTAACCGCCCTAACTTTGCTGCATTGCAATTCCGGAGTAAAAGAGGTTCTAACAGTATCAACCGCCGAGACTTTAAGGACTGGAGGAGTCATTACATTCCTTGGAATCTTTGACTAGGAGTCTAACTAGAGAACCATATAATCTGGTACTACGGTAGTTAGTTGAACTCTCTGGATTCGTTTTGTAATCGGCTTTTTGGTGAAGTTCTAGATCCAACTAGTAGTTGCAGTTGAAACCTCAATCTCAGGAACAGAATGTTGGTCAAAAAAGACTGTAGCAGGGGGTGAAGTCAATATTTCGAGAAAGTTCTGTGCAGTTACCAAAACAACAGATACCCCTCCGAGGAGTTACAGCTGGAAACAAGTTGATGTTTCCTCAGTGAATTATCGTTCTTTGCTATGGTTTGTTCTCGGTTTAATCTTTTCGTACCAGATGTTCAGTGTGTCCCCTGTAAGTAAGAATGAAGTCTAAGTTTATTGACTGAAATTGTGTTTCGCTCCACTAAATAAGTCTTTAAGTGCTCTTTAGATTACTTTCAAGCAATGAATGTCAAAGTGCCGTGTTGGCCTTATCTCATGGTGGTCTTTTTCACCCACAGGGTGAACTTCTGTGACGACTCACTAATCCCCGTAGTGCCATATTATGTCGTTCTCTGGTTCGACCCCATGTCCAATCATTCCAAGGAAAGGCCGAGGATACATTTGATCATCATCACTATATAGTCCCGGCAGACTAGAGGTATTGGTATCACCTCTTTCCCCGGGATTGCAATAATACCATGATGGGGTCTTTCATCAAGGTTACGTGCCCTCGAATCACCTGAATGTCAGATCAGATCAGAAATTTATATGATAATACATTCTTATATAAGTACACCTACAAGCATTCCTATGACTGTTTTTTTGACTGTACATCCATATATCCGAAGATCGACACTAAATCCACTGGAACTATATTACAATTGGACAGACAAAGCCTTAGAATATTTGTAGAGATATAACTTCTCACTGCAACAGTCCAAGAATACAGACTTTCAGACTTAGGTTTCACCAGGGACTAGACGATATTAGTCTTTATGAGAGACATCTTTTAATGGCTAAATTATGGAGTATTCATATGATTGTGACGCAACCAAACTTAATTTTATGTGATTTACAGAAATTAACATTTCTCGGAAATTTTTTTTAGTACAGTAACCATAGTCTGGGTTTATAATTAGTTTATAAACATATGTTTGTTTCATTTCATATATCATAATAATATATTTTATAATAAAATAATAAAAAATTGTGGTTCCATTGTTAAACCCAACAAATCATTTGACCGACTGAAATAATTACAGAGAGACTAGACTAGTTCATTTAACTTAATTTATATATATGAAATGATAATAGGAAGAAGTGATATTTTCACTTTAGAAATCATTTATATTTACATATCTTTTTCTTCATATAGGTCAGATCTTAATTCTAAAAAAAATATGATGACTATAAAATAGTTACGTGTGATAACAGTTAACTGCAAATAAAAAGACGTTAACAACACTTTTACAGTTTATTGATAAAACATTTCATTCAAGAAAATAAAATAATATTTGCAGTTGTTGTATTCGTCATTAAATAAATTAAAGTTAATAAATAATTAGTCATTTCATCAAAATTATTGTTATAAAGATAATTAAATTGCTGGTGAGGAAAAACAAAATTGTTAAAGAAAAGATAAAAATATTGATAGGTCTGAGGATCTCAAGTGTTTTATTCAAATAGATTAAAAAACACTTGAATAATTAATAAAACCATTTGTTTTTTTTTTAACTAAAGTAAGTCAATTAGGTTAAAGTTATATGTATTATGGAGGAAACTAGAAAAATGGTCCTACTAACTTTACAGTATATCAATTAATTCACATTAAAAGCACCCATGAATTCGACTCTGTATTCAGCATTTCTTCATCACTTCAGCTTTTCCATATTGGAAACGATATAATAGCGCGATCACAATGTTAAACTCCACACATTGGACTTTTAGACAACACAACAAATTCTAGAAATAAAAATGTTTTCGTGCTGTTATAATGTCTCAAACATGATCAAAAATGGGGATTTTTCGATTCTAAGGACAAGATATCTCGAAATCTCAATGGGATTGAGATATTCTGCGATCAGATTCGGTGCTGCTCAATATTAAAAAAGTATACTTTGGTCTCTGGTTTAAAAAAAATTCTTGGCCTGTGTTATGGTTCAAAATATCGGCCCAATATTGCCTTAAGCTCACTAAGCTTAAGCTAAACTTAATGCTATACCCGATTTTAATTTTTTTTTTCAGGGAACCATTTTAAATGAAAGATTGAAACGTTTCGTGTTTCCCTATTAGTTTTTCTATCAGGGTTTTAGAAAGTTATATGAACTATTAAGGACCACGATCTGAGTAATCGCATCGAATTTTCAAATCAGTGTTCCTATCGAGAATAACATCGCTCCCTAGATATTAGTATCTAATTTCGAAGAAAGCGCTTTCTTGCCTCTCCATATGCTTTACATTCGTCTATACACTTATAGTTGTACCCGTAATCCGTATGACCATTCAGAATATGTACCTAGTCGGCTTCTTCTTCTCCCATTAAGGTTATCCCATAGGATCTTAGTAATTCCCTCATCGTTTCATTATTCCGCGGTTAAATACTTTAAAAGGTATTAACGTCTTGACATGCTCATTATAAGGCGGCTTCTTCTTCTCTTATTAAGATCATCCCATAGGATCTTAGTGGATTTCTTTACCGTTTGATGTTCAGAAACCTATTTTCCTGGACGTAGTTTCTCAGAATTTTCCAATCAGTTTTTACTCTTTATATGGAAAATGTTAGTGGGAGAAACCTCTTTCTATTATCATTCGAGCTTCATATACTCAGTTTTCCTGGACATAGTTCCTTAAAATTTCCCAATCAATGTTCCTAAGGGATGTAATATCGGGAGTAACATCGCTTCCAAGATATTTGGATCTAATTTCGATGAAACAAAGAATGTTTTCCAGATTTTCATTGCTCTGCCCATATGCTTTACATTGATCCAATTTTGTATAGTTGTATCCGTCTTCTGTATGTCCTCTCAGAATACGTTCCATCTATCATATTAACCTCGAACTTGCTCATTATAAGGCGACTTCTTCTCCTCTCGTTAAGGTCATCCCAATCAGTTTTACTTCTTTATATGGAAAATTTTAGTGGAAGAAACCTCTTTAAAGGTATTACTGTCCGAGGTTCAGAAACTCAGTTTTCCTGAACATAATTTCTTAGAACATCGGACATGCTCATTATAAGTTGACTTATTTTACTCTCGTTAAGATCTTAGTGGATTTCTTCAACGTTTCATTATTACGTTTTCGGGATGGTTGAGCACTATACCAGGTATGTATGTCAGAAACCTATTTTCGTAGAAGTAGTTTCTCAGAATTTTCCAATAAGTTTTTCCTGAGAAGTGTAATACTGAAATAACATTACTTCTAAACTGTGAGTCCCCCTATACATTTTTCTGAACGTAGGAGCCTCCTCAGAATAAGTAAATCGGAGTTTAGTAATTCATGCAATATATCATATTAACCTCTGACTTACTTATTCTGAGGAGGCTCATACGCCTGCTCTCGGTAAAGGTACCTCATAGTATTATTGTAGTTTCACCCAACATTAGTCGTAAGCAATTCTCTCTCCCATGGTATTTATTTAGACTTCTCTGCGTCGAACGACATGCATCATCATTTGTTGCCGATTATTTCCAAAAGGTCTGGTAACCATATGATCCAAAGCTAAGTCTCTGAAAAAGTAATCGGTTGAGGCTCTGTCACATGAAAATACGATATTATATTATCATCCGATATCGCCCTAGTTGCCTTCTGGTTGTAGGTAGAAATGTTATGATTATTGGATTCACTCTTAGAAAGGTGACTCGATTCTTAAACGACCATGTGTTCTTCATTTAAGCTATGTATTAAGCAAATCGAGATTCCACTGTAGTTTTCATTTCTATTTTGGAATGTGGTCGACCGTAATTTCTCCTTTAATAGATTTAAAATATATTCATGATTTTGTACATTTCTTTATAGTATAGTAAACTAGACGATAACTTTGACGTGTGCCTTAAAATAAAATCCGTCAGTTTCTTGTTTCTCTTGTGGTATTATATTTCAAAAAGCTATTGAGGTTTCTTTCTAATTAACCAAGAGATTTCCGAAAGTGCCTCTTCAGTTATTACAAACAGTTTCAATTGTTTACATGGACGTTTTAGGAAATAATATGCGGAAAAATTTATCAGGTTTAAAAAAAAAAGAACATGAATCATATGTTTTGAACAAGATTTTTAAGAAATTGATTATTATAACGCTAAATAATTTAAAAATTCAATTAATTTTGATGATCGTGATGACACCTTAAATGTGATTAATAATTATTATTATTTTTTTCTAATGTTTATTTATAGATTTTATCAAATTAGAACCTCTTAAGAATGAAATTCATTATATACAAATGCAACAGAATATTATACTCATACTGCTCGTGGTATTGCTGGTCATCACCGCTGGACATTTTACCTGGAAATTGATAAAATGTTTGAAAAACAAACGCTGTTGCCTGGGCCAACTGATGGCTAAACTAAAATTTAAAAAGGCAGCTACTATGCCCTCAAATCAAAGTAATGGCAAAGATTTAGGTGGCATCACTATACCCAATATGTGTGCGATCAATGATGTTGAGAGAGCACCTTCACAAATTTACAGTCTAACAGGTAAAAAAACAGTTAAATATGAAAGAAACAAAGAGGATGCTGTGACAGTTTTACGACAGTGACTTAATGTTCAAGTGTCTTCTTTCTTTCATTCTGTTTTTGAAATTTATGACTTTTTAAAATGATTTCAACTAATCTTTATCTTGAAATTTTTCTTTGTTTTCCTTTTTCGACAACAACAAAAAGGTGCTGAAGGTTCGGTAAGGACAACGACTACACCAATTAGCTCACGCTATCCGGCGGAAAATACAACACCATCTCCGCAGCCCAATGAGTATTCGTATGATAATCAAGGTTTAGTAGTGACGCCAATATCTGAAAAGCCCAACGGTGGTCCTATGTTCACATAAAGTAATTTAACTCTCATCCCCGCTTCATTAAGCATTAACATCCATCCCTTATTACACGCTTATTTATTAGTAACCTTTAAATTTAAACTAAATTATAAGAAAATCATTTATAAAATGATTTCTTTTCTTTTCGCTTTTCTGCGGCCTCGTTACTTAAATGACAGACTATATGAGTCGTTTCATTTATAAGTTACAACTCATATTCATTTGTATATTTTTCTTTGTCTTCCTTCTATTGTTTAAGAATACTCTTTAAAGCAGATATATTGTAATTAAGATTTGCATTATTATAAGTGTAAGTTATCGATAATTTTATTGGATGTATGTATATCTAACTCACTCTCTATGTTTGAACGTAATCATCACACTTTATTTAAAACTAGTTTTATGTTTTTTTGCTAAGTCCTTGTCTTTTAAGTTTTTAGTTTAAATAAAAATTGTAAATTATTTTAAAGAATCTATTGATATTATATGCAAAATTCATATTTTTGTAATAAATTTGAAAATTTTAATAAATATAAATAAAAATTTTATATAATTATAATGAAAATGAGCCAAAAGGCACAGTGTGGCAATTGTAAATAACTTTGGAAAAAGTTGCTGAAAAAGAGAATAAATCCTCTACCAATTTGATACACCTACGTGTTTGGAATGGCATTATATGGTTAAGTTATGTCAAATCCGAAATAAATACATTTCATAATGTTGAACAGTTCACTCTCCGGGCTCAATACTTGCTTAATTTCATGTACGATAAAAGATAGATAGATAGATAGATAGATAGATAGTAGATAGATAGATAGATAGATAGAAATTAGAGTGAATAGATAGAGAATGATAGATAGTATAGATAGATAGATAGATAGATAGATAGATGAATAGATCGATAGATCGATATGATCGATAAGATAGAATGATCGATAGATAGATAGATAGATAGATAGATAGCATAGATAGATAGATAGATAGATAGATAGATAGATGATAGATAGATAGATAGATAGATAGATAGATAGATAGATAGATAGCTCGCTCGATAGATAGATCGCTAGATAGCTAGCTAGCTAGATATCGCTAGATAGATGATGATCGCTAGATAGATCTCGCTCGCTCGCTCGATCGACTCGCTCGATCGCTATCGCTCGATCGCTCGCTCGCTCGCTCCTCGCTGCTGCTCGCTCGCTCGCTCGCTCGCTCGCTCGCTCGCTCGCTCGCTGCTCGCTCTCTCGCTCGGTCTCGCTCGCTCGCTCGCTCGCTCGCTCGCTCGCTCGCTGCGCTCGCTCGCTCGCTCGCTCGCTCGCTCGCTCGCTCTCGCTCGCTCGCTCGCTCGTCGCTCGCTCTCTCGCTCGCTCGCTCGCTCGCTCGCTCGCTCGCTCGCTCGCTCGGTCGCTCGCTCGGTCGCTCGCTCGCTCGCTCGCTCGCTCGCTCGCTCGCTCGCTCGCTCGCTCGCTCGCTCGCTCGCTCTCTCGCTCTCTGATAGATAGATAGATAGAAAGGCACTTTTTGAATGTTCAATATTATTGATACTTGAAACATGATATTAAGTATGTAACCTATAAACGAGCTCTTTTTGCTACCTTTTCGTACTTGCAAAAGTACTTTTTAAGTTGTCTGCTACTGTTTTTTTTCGAAAATTGTATGTTTTGATGTTTTGTAAAAAAAAACTACGTATTTTGTTTAATTCACTAGAAGTTAGTTTTGTCTTCAACTTATTACAACATTGTGCAAATTATTTGTTTAATTATAAATACGCAAAATCCTTAACAGGCTTTTAAAAAACTTATAAAAATTATTCTATTCTCTTTCGCCCTTACTTTCTAAACAATCCTACCAGCAAAAACAAAACAAATACATATGACAAACCTAAGCAGAACAAAAACAACGGCTAAATTTTACAAACACAACAGCCAAAACAATCAACAAATTGCACGTTGTTTTTGTAAAAGTAGTATTTATTGTAGAACTACTACCAAATACCAACTATACACAAACAAATGGCAATAACGCGAATATCACAATAACAAAACAAATGCACAAACAAATTTCATAAACAACAACAACATCTACGGCAACAGATTTTAAGAAGCCTCGGCCTGATGCCATGCAAAACCTTTGCAGCAATAACAATGCCATGTATAACAACAAATATTGGGAATTAGGAGAACAACAACAAGAATAAGAAAGTTTTGTATTAGGAAAATAATACGATTATGAAAAGTATTGTTTAATTTGCTAAATCCTAACAAATAACTTTCTAGTAATTTGTTTTATATACATTTCGTTTTGTTGTAAATTTTGCAAAAACAAACTTACCTTTGTAGGTATTTGAGATTGCCTGTACGAAGTACTTAATAGTGGGTGGCGGCAGCTTTCCGAAATTACTTAATTTCTTACGGGAGAAAACACTAAAACACTTACTTGCACTTATCTTTAACATTATCACTTAATTAACACTGTTTTCAATAAATTATTCCAAATAAACAAAATTTTTACTTGCATCCTTATAAATTTTAACAAATTTGCATCCGCTTAGTTTAAAGATTAAAGGAGAACTAACAAAAAAGAAGAAGACGAATGAAAGAGAAAAGTCAAAATACAATACGCACTTTCTATTCATTTATGAACATCCTTAAGATATGCAAAGAATCTGGTGACTTTGGTTTTTGAACAAATATTGGCAACACCGGGCAATTGGCAATAATAATTAAGCTTTGTTACCTAAATCAGCCTTAAGATAGGCTACATTATTTGTTAAATAAATGTGGTTTTGTTTACAAATATAATAACATTGCGCATACAAAGTCCTTCGGAAATGTCCAGGAATGTACATAGTATGTATAAAAAATAAACACGCAAAATCCTTAGCATACCTTAAGGATTTTAAAGGGCGGGTGTTGGTGGCAGCATCTAGGAAAGTCCTCAAAAATACAAGTTAACACTTTTTTATTTGCACTTGTTAAACACTTAATTAATACTTTAAATTACTTTAATTTTTAATAAATTATTAATGAAAACATTAAATGCGTTTTTATAAATTTTAACAAATTTTCAACCGCTTAGTTTAGGAAAACTAATAAAAAGTAGAATATGCGAATAAAAAGGTATAGCTAAAATGTCAATGCTTAATTCACTTTGTTTTTTTTTAATCCTTAAGGTATGCTAAGGATTTTGCGAGTTTCGTTTCTATACTACATTCGTGAACATTTCCGAAGAATTTTATAAGCGTATGTTATTATATATGTATGTAAACAAACCTATATTTTATTTATAAAAACAAATAATGTAGCCTATCTTAAGGCTGATTTAGGAAACAAAGCTTCATAATCATTGCCAATTGCCCGGAGTTGCCAATATTTCCTCAAAAACCAAGTTCCCCCGATTCTTTGCATATCTTAAGGATGTTCATAAATGAATAAGAGTCCGTATTGTATTTTAACGTTTATCTTACATTCGTCTTCTTCTTTTTTTGTTAGTTCTCCTTTAATCTTTAAACTAAGCGGATGCAAATTTATTAAAATTTTTGAGGACGCAAGTAAAAATTTTGTTTATTTCGAATAATTTATTAAAAACAGTGTTAATTAAGTGAAAATATTAAAGATAAGTGCAAGTAAGTGTTTTAGTGCTTTCCCCCATAAGAAATTGAGTGATTTCGGAAAGCTGCCGCCACCCACTATTACGTACTTCGTACAGGCAATCTCAAATACCTACAAAGGTAAGTTTGCTTTTGCAAAATTTACAACAAAACGAAATGTATATAAAACAAATTACTAGAAAGTTATTTGTTAGGATTTAGCAAATTTAACAATTCTTTTCATAATCGTATTATTTTCTTGATACAAAACCTTCTTATTCTTGTTGTTGTTCTCCTACTTCCCAATATTTGTTGTTATACATGGCATTGTAAATGCTGCAAAGGTTTTGCATGGCATCAGGCCGTGGTTTGTTAAAATCTGTAGCCGTAGATGTTGTTGTTGTTTATGAAATTTGTTTTTGCATTTGTTTTGTTATTGTGATATCAGTGTTGTTGCCATTTGTTTGTGTACAGTTGGTATTTGGTAGTAGTTCTACAATAAATACTACCTTTACAAAAACAACATGCAATTTGTTGTTTGTTTTGGATGTTGCGTTTGTAAAATTTAGCAGTTGTTTTTGTTCTGTTTAGGTTTGTTTTATGTATTTGTTTTCTTTTTGGTGAGCTTTCAACACAATTGCTGGTAGGATTGTTTAGAAAGTAAGGGCGAAAGAGAATAGATTAATTTTTATTCGTTTTTTGCACAATGTTGTACAGTGGACGTCCACTAGTACGAATTATATAGTGTCAGGCCCTTTCGTAATACCGAAAAATTCGTATTATTGAACAACACATTTTGTATGTTTAAATTCAAATAATACACATAAAATATTGGATTTTATTTATTTTTGTTTTATTTTTCATGAAAAATTACATAACGGAACAAAATATAATAAATGTATATTATTTTAAATAAATTTCTTGTACATAAGCAGGCATAAAATGGTCATATTTAATTTTGAAAGTATCGTGAGTCCAATGGTTGAAATGAGATATATGTAGAAGGTTTTAAATTTTAATGTTTTTAAAAAGATGTGTGCCAAAGACAATTTGCAATTTACATATGTGTTCTAAAATTGTTCAGATTACATAAAACTTTTATTAGAAACTTGAATGGAATATACCACAATTCTCTAATTTATAATTTTCTCTTAAAAATTAGAATAGTTATCCTTAAACTCATACTTTCAAAATTAACAGTTCATACATACATATGTATATAAATATCATTTTACTTATTAAAAAATCCATCATTTAACATCGATGTTTATTACATTGTAAAATGATTCTTACGGCTTTTTCAATAACAGCGCTTTTGAGGCTTCAATATTGTTCTCAGCAGAGTTATTGTCGGGAACTAATAAAATACTTTCCTCATTGGCGTTATCATCCAATTTAATTTCTTCTCTTGGGTCATCAAAATTCCAATAAAATAAATTAATAACACTAAATAATTGTTGATTTGTAAATATACATGCAGAAAATTGTGTGTATAGGATTTTTAAAAATACAAAACACTTGTAATAAATACAAAAAAACTTCAAAATTACTGAGCTTAAGGTGAATGATACCGAAATAATAAAATAAAAACGTAATAAAATCTTCATTCATACGTAAATAAAACCAAAATTCCTATAAAAAATGCGTTATTCATACTATCGAACAGAAAAATTGTGACTATATTCGTACTATAGAGTAGACAATGCAACAATTTTGCCATTCGTATTATTGGATTTCGTAATAAAGAGTATACGTACTATTGGACGTCCACTTGTAATATAGTTTGGAGACAATAACTAACTTCTAGTGATTAAACAAAATACAAAAGTCAAAAATTTTATTACAAAACATCA